CCTCATTTCTAAGACAAGCTGAGCTGTCTTTTAGTATAGAAATCCAACCCACATTATAAAACTAGTGCCTACCTAACGTCTTGCCTTCTATATGTCCTATAATTTCTAATTCTTCCCCTTCCTAACTACCTTTTGGTGAACTGCTCACGTTTTCTTTATGCCAGAGTTTTTCTCCACAAGGTGTAAACTGATGCAAACTGTTCCTATTTCTCTGTTGGTTCCCTGTGAATTGTTAATACATTAAATGCACATTTCCATACTATAGGCACACCCCTCAGAGAAAACCTAAAGTTTAGGAAACCTCGATTTTTCTCTTTTACATCACTATCTAAATGCATATATGAGAGTCTTATTTCTAATACTGTTTTAGTTTGCACACTAATATGCATCAACAATTATTTAGATGAGTTCATGCTGTACTGGATGCTTTCTTCACCGTTACTTTTGGAATAAAAAAATAGTCCTATTTTATAGATGACTGTCTTTCTTTTTTTCCCATTTTGTCAGTGTCAAGGATGAGGCCAGGGACTTCTGAGTCCTTCACTATTTGATGAAGGCATTTTTTTTCGCCCTTCAGACTTGAATTTTAATCTGGCTATGTTCAAAATTCCAGCTTTGGAATCACTTTTCCCCAGGTACTCTGAAAATACAATTTTGATCAAATCTAGAATAAACTTGGTCATCAAGTTTGGTGCCAGCTGATGGCCAGGCCTTTGTAGAAAAGCAAGTTTAGCCAGGCGTGGTGGCGCATGCCTGTAATCCCACCACTCAGGAGGCTGAGGCAGGAGAATCGCTGTGAGTTTGAGACCAGCCTGGGCTACATAGTGAGTTCCAGGTCAGTCTCAACTACATAGTGAGACCCTGTCTCAAAAAAAAAAAGAAAAGAAAAGAAAAGCAAGTTTGGTTCCTGTTATGGCTTGTATTTAGATGTTCCCACAAAGCCTCATGCATGCATAGGCAAGGCTTTCTGGAGGTAGCTGGATATATAGTGTGAATATGGACTAAGGGTGTGTGATAACTAAATTAGTTTCCTGATTGGTTTGGCATAATTCTGGGTGTGGATAATGGGAAGCCCCACCCTGGGTGCGGATGGCACCAACCAATAGGGTTGCAGTCTAGATGGAATATAACGGGAGAAATAGAAGGCAGATTCACTGCTTTCTGCCTGCCTTACCATGGGCAGCTTCTCCTCTGCCATGCCACTCTGCCTTGAAGCCATGGACTAAAACCTCTACAAACTGTGAACTATAATAAATCCTTTCTCCTTTAACTCATGGGTCAGGCATTTTGTCTCAACCATGAAAAAGTAACTAAGTTTCCCATCTGCTGCTGCTAGACACTTCTAGGTTTCCTACTTGTCAGCAGCACCCTGAAATTCTGTCCTGGTGATTGCTGCAGTTGGGCTCGCTCCTTTGTTTGCTCAAAATTGGTCAGGTCTCTGATGCATACTGTTTTGGGAAATGTTCTTTAGAACATTTTTACTACCCCTCCATCTTCTTTGTTTTCTCTTGGTCATATTCCTACTCAGCAGAATATGAGGCTTCTCAAAATCACTTTCAGTATCAGCTTTTACCCTCACTTTCTCCGTGTATCACTCTTCTAGGTCTTCACAGTCCATGGTCCTTTACCTCTGCATTCCAGAAAAGCCTTGGTCCTTATAAGTATGTGTTCTGGGAGTGCTCTCGGGTCCTGTAGATCTGTGAACTGGAAGAGGTCTACGTTCTATAGGTCTATAATCTGAGATAGTCCTTGGCTTCTCCATTTAATCACTGATTCCGTATGTGTTATACTTTCTCTCATTGCTGAGACAAAATACCAGCACCCAATATTACAGGGAAGGAGTTTATTTGGCTTATAGTTCATAGAGGTTCCAGTCCATAATCGGCTGGCTCTGAGGCTGGGATTGCAAACATACATCGCAGAGGAGAAACAACATGGTGCACACAAGGCAGAAAAGTTAACAAGAGAATTTAACCACGTCTTTCTGCCCCTATTTTATCTTACTCAGACTACCGGGAGTAGGGGGGTGCCAAACTATTCACTCACATGTAATGGTTCAGTAATCACATGCCTTTAACCCCAGGATCGCACATTCCAGATTCATCCACCTCTGAAAAAGAAAGTCCCCACCTCATCTGCATGAGGCATTGGGGGACATCTAAACACAAACCATAATAACTTCTTTTTTTTTGGCCACTCTCAAGCCTTCCTGCTTATTCCATTTACTAGCTTTACTTTCCAAAGCCTTTCGCTATTGCTTTTGAGGATGAAATCAATGTCTTCTCGTACTGGAGTTTTATTTTATGCCTTTAACTCTGCTCCTTGAGTATCCTTCTTGGGCTTGGTGTGTCTTTGCTCTGCTGTTGGTTTTCCTCAAATGTGTGATAGTTCACAGCTATGTCCACAGTTGTGCTTTGGAAAGGCCTGGCTGGCTTGTTCTGGATCCTGCTTGTCTGCCTTAGTCTGCCTCTAGTCTAACTTGGTCTCCAGGGAGGAGAGACAGAGAATCTTCACACTGCACGTGTCTTCTGGAAGTGGCTCCCTGTCTCTCTGTGGATTGCAGCTGTCTGGACACAATTAATTCCTGACACCCTGGCTCAAAGCCTATATTCGACTTTCCCCATGAGAGATGCACACGTCTCTGAAGCTTTGTGCAAAGCCCCCCAGAGCTCAAGTGGCTGCCCACATTCTCTCCCATTCCTCGAGTCCACTCACCCTGGGTTTTGTCCTAGGTCTTATTTGTCCCCCACCCTCCTCTCTGGTACTGGGTATTAAAACCAGAGCCCAGAGCCCTTGTAATAGCTACATTCTCATTCTTTTTTTTTTTAGTGTGAGACAGGGTCTCGCTAAGTCACTAAGTTGTCCAGGCTGGGCTCAAACTTGTGATTGCTAGGATTACAGTGCACACCACTACCACGCCTGCACTTGGTTCTTGTTCTTATGCATATCAGCCCTCCTTGTATATCTTCTGTGCTATTTTGATTCCACAAACATTATTTGTTTCTGACTCTTAATAATTAGTCAAAATATCTGGTCCTCTGACTACAGTTATCATGAATTTCTGTTGTAGCTATACCTTAATCCTGTCTTTTCTGGGGGTCCTGGCACACAGTGAGAGCAGATGACTATTCTCAGTAACCACACTGTTATAATTCCAGACCAACATGTGCTGTATTTTAGGTTAGGAACACCCTATATGAAGTCTAGGTTGATACATGTGCCTGGAGCCCTGTGCAGGGCTGTTGTGCCTGTCTCCCAGCCCAGCCCTGAGAAGGCTCCACAGAGGCCAGATCACCTGAGATCCAAGAACAGAGAGGGAGCAAGACGCATAGCTATGTGACAGGCACAAGGCTGTGGGTCAGGAGCAGGTGTTGCGTGGAAACTAGTACCTAGGCATGGGCCCAGCTCCTGTGTGCAGTTCTGGCCTGGAGAGGAACTATGCATCACTTTCAAGAGCAGGACCTAACTGCGTAGTTGCTCTGTATTTACTGAAGACTACCCCACAATTTCTCTGTTGTTTGTAATTACCCTGTGCCACTAAATAACACTTGCTGTGCAGTTAAATGGTTGGCAGTTACCATGGAAACCAAGTATTATTCTCTAACTTGAAACGGTAGTTTTTTTTTTAAAAGAAATTATTGGTTTTACCCTACTTTGACACTGATTAACCTGTAATATTACCAACTGAAAATGAAGCAGGGTATGGCCATCTGCTTTCCACTATCCCTCTGTCTCCCTCAGCTTCTCCTATCCCTCTGCCCAGATCACTGCTGGCTCCCATTCCCTCATTGCCTCCTTGTCCTTGCTGACAAAAGCCACAACCCTGTGAAAATGTCACTGCCAATTTCACACCTGACCATGCAGTTGCTCATAACCAGAGGAAAACATGAGCCATTGAGAGTACCTTGTCAAGGGAGCCAACCCTGAGGAGCTCAAATGCATGTGAGCAGCTCCACATGTTTGCACACAAACTACTACACATGCACAAACATACATACACAAACATAAAAGTGCACCTGCACACCCATATGCACATTCAGGAACACACATGCATAGACACAGCCACATGTGCATGCCTACCTACACACATACATGTGACAGGCATGCACGTGCATGTATCCACACATGTGCAAATTCATGCGAGACTCACTTATACACATGCACACATGTATTGGCACACACATGCATGTGTGTGCACACAACTCGCACATGTGCAACACATTCACAAGTGTGCATACTCCCTGAAAACACATCCACTCATCCCTGACCCCTTCCTGGTGCTCCCTGTTCTTTGATCTGCTCTGCATAAGACTATCTGGTCTTCTCAGGTCTGGGCACCACCTCTATGGACAGACCCGCTGGGGTGCTCACGGACAGATTTGTCCCAACCCCACACCAGAGCCTGACACTTCCTGCTGGCCCTGGGTAGCAATTCAATTCTTCCAGCCTCATTTAGAATTATCTTCAAATCAATTTTAACTCTGAAACATCTCATTACCTCCACTCTGTCTCTAACCTGATGAAAATTGTCACAAGGCAAGTAGAGTTATTAACATTCTGTGTAGATGAGAAGTAACAGTCACCAAAGACTCTGGATACTATTAACAGAATAAAATATTTTTCTCATTTCACTACAAATAGCCTGTTAACAGAAATAAACAGATGAGAAGCAACCACATCTGAGAGGCCCTTGACATTGCTTCTTTGAGAGGGCCCCTGCCATGGGCACAGCAGGAGAAGATTAAGAGGAGTCGGGTGCAATTCAGTGTTAAGAACCTCAAAAGAAATGATCAAGCAAATGCAGCAATCAGAAGTCAGGATAGGCCCCAAATCAGGTGGGAAAAGGAAGGGTTGAGATCCGGGCCGAGGTCAGGCACAGGCAGGAACAGGTGGGCACAGGTGGTCAAAGCAGGTCAAGACAGGCAGGGTCACAGGTGGCCATAATCTGGAACAGGACAGGGCTGGGCAGGCAGGTCACCAGCAGGGGTAGACGAGAGTACCTGGGAGCGCCTCCTTCTCCCGGCCTGGGGACGCCTGTCCTGCCAGCCCACCTGCTCCCCGAGGGTGAGACACTGTCCATCTACCAAAAAGCAAGGGAAAAGCATCATGTTACCCAATGAACCTGACAAGGCCAACACCGAGGCACACAGAGTACATCCCACTGGACCCTTTTCAATTCACTAGTCTCAGTTTGAGGGTTCACAGGAAACCTTGTTACTTGAAGTTTGGTACCACATCTATCAACAACTGTCAGACACTGTATATAGGTCAGTGTGTACCCTAGAAGAGAAGCTGTGCACACTAATGTGACCTCCTGATGTCCACTCCTGATGCTTGTCCCCCACTACCACCCTGTGGGTATTTCCTCCTCTTCATGTCCTTGACCTGGTCCTTTATTTGCTGCAAGCATTACTTGCACTGCACCTCAGAATCCGCTCTGTTTGGCCAGGCTTGTGATCTCCACTGTCAGAACAGTCTGCACCCCTGGTCTCTCAAGTCCAGCAACACATCTGTGAAGCTAGTCACAGGTGGCTGGGTGTGCTGTGGACCGTAGCCATAGCCCAGTGTCTGTTACTGCAACATGACTGAGGAGAAAAGCCACACTTCATGGACAGCCATTTGCCCCCACCTGGAAAGCCACCACTGCTGTGTGAATAGTAACATGTGGCCAGTGGCCAGCCGATGGGGATGCCTTGTTCTCTGGGGACTCCTGGCAAGATTTAGACAGCAGGAAATGCTTCTAAAAATTCAAAAGAAATAGTTATTCTCTCAATCAGACCTAATGAATTACATTCTGGAGACAGACACTAGATTGCAGAACCAAGTACAATCTTTAAAAGATGAGAAATTAACAATTTTAAAGCACTTAATTCCTTCCAAGGACTTCCCATGTTTATTATATTACACATTAAGAAGCACACATTACTGTCGTGATTATGATGAAAGAGGACCAGGCTTGGAGAGGAAAAGCACACAGAGGTAAACTTTGCTGGGAGGGTGTCAGTGGGTCTCCTAGAACCCTAGTACAGATCATTTTTACCCCAGCAAGTGTGTGCCTCTTGAGACCACAGACTCTTGTGAAGGGATATGGGAGATAGCTTCTAATAATTCCTTCAGAAAGTGAGGACAAATTTAGGGTGTGGTGCTATTAACAGCATCTTAATGACTATTATTCTGTTCATCTGGTATAGGAGCAGTATTGATGCCAGAAGATTCTCTGCTCTGCCTGGACTCCCCAGTTGGGTGAATTACTTCACTTCACGTTTCAGATCTCTCAATTATTAAGTAACATTAACACACTATTAGAGGTAATGAAGGCAGCAATACACATAAGTTCTTTTATTAACAACTATTAAAACTCTTTACTACTTAGGTGATTTCATAAATCTTCAAAATGATAGATATCTAAAGAGTAAAAGTAAACAGATAATGGAAAAAAGGCTCTCTACTACTGCAGAGCTCACTGGCACTTTCAGCATTCCCTGAGAGTCTATGAAGAAATTTTCTAGCATGTGGGAGGGAAGTGTTTGGCTCATCCTACACCTGGTATATTACCCTTTACAACCAGTGCATCTTAGATTTCTTTGAATCAGCACATTCAGAGCCACATTGGCACAAGAAGTGAAGTTCTCTGCATTTTTAATTCCAGAGGTGTCACCCAGAAGCTTCTCTTTACAAGTTTGCAAATTGCACCCCCATCAAAGTTGCTGAGGCCGCTCCTCATACCTTGGCTAGCACTAGTCACTTTCAGACATTTTAATCTTTGACAAGTCAAGAAACAAAAGATGTTACCCTATCACTTAATGTTTTAAAACTGCACAATTTTTTAATTAGTCTGAGTCTTTGTTGGGTTCTCCTATGGGTAATCTCTAAATGACATCCTCAGGCCCCTGTCACTGGCTAACTGGTCCCCTCTGCGCCCTGACCTCTGCCATTCTTCCTCTGGTATGGCTGCCTTGTGAGGCTTAGCAGTATGGAGTCTGGTCCTGGACCCTGACCTCCAGATACCCTGTGCACTGCTTTCAGCTCAGTGCCTATCTTCTTGTGACCGCCTCCTCCTCTAGTCCTCCTTTAGGGTCTCGTCCTATCTTCAACAAATCTCATGAAAATCACTTTCCCAAAAGTCTTATGTGTTTGAAAAAATGCTTTTCTCTACAAATTTTGTATACTTTGCTACACTTTTTTCCTAACATGGAAACTGCAGTGGAAACATCTTAAGCTAGCCTCTTGCTCTCCTTTATAGATGCCACAGACATAAATAGAAAACAGATTAACACTTCTCAGTGTTTTTTCAAAGCCCTTCACAAGAGGATATCCAAATGGCAAATAAGCACACACACAAAAAAAGGTGCTCAGCCCCATTAGGAATTAAAGACATGCAAATTAAAACCAAAAATAGAACTACACAACCGCAGGCTGCCTCAAATATAACAGTCTAGCACCACCCTGCAACTGGGGGGCCTAGGCAGCGGGACTCTTCACTTCTTCCAGTCTGTGGACTAGGATTGGTCCTTTAAAAGAAAGGTTAGGATGTATTCAATCCCAGCCAGAGATAAATGACTTTCACAGGGAGAAAAATATATCAACTGAGCAGTGAAAATGAGCTGATAAAAATATTCAAAAGCAAAAACTAAGTTTGCACATGAAAAGACTCCTCAGGGTGCTGGCTGGAAAGAAGTATGCAAGGGAGTCTGCTTTGGAGGACACGTTCTCAATTCTATATTACTTTCATCACGGACTTTATACAACTTTTTGAAGATTGTGATTTACACTGTAAGTTAAGGTAAAGTTAGAGCACAGTAAGGCACCAGTAGAACAAAAAGACAGCTAAGCATGATAACACTTTGAAACACGTGGGAATAGAAGGGGGATCCATCCTTTCAGCCCCTCTCACAAACGTACACATACACAGCAAAATCTGGTTGCTGTTCCAAATAGTGTACAACAATGCACACTCCTTCCATGATTTCTTGTGGAAATGTTACAGTAAATTTATGTGCATCCCTTTTTAAAAACTATAATGCTGCAATATAACTCCATGTTGTGGGACAAAATGTATTTGGAGAGGGGGAATACTGCTGTCCTAAACTTGGTAAACTTTTTGAAGAGCAACTGTGAAGAAAAGTGATTGTAGAAAAAGGTTATTACACAAGGTTACATCCTGTATTTTACTGGTGGGAGTACAAACTACTTGAAAAACAGCTGAAGGGCGAAGTTGAAGCTGTGCATAAGCAGTGATACATCTCATTACAATCTTATGTACTATTACAGTCTACTCACACCAGAGAAACTATTCGGTATTTACATGTGTGTGACTTATTTCTTTCACTTAGGAGTATATCCTCAATATGTGTCCATTTTCCTATGAATGAATCTAATTTCTCATTCTTTATGGCTGAGTAATATTCCATTTTATAGAAAAACCACATCTTCTTTATCCAGTTTCCAACTGATGGGCAAATGGGCTGTTTCCAAGTTTTAGCTATTACAAACTGTGCTGCTATAAACACGAGTGTGCATACATCCCTGTGATATGATTCTTTTAGCTCTTTTGGAAAAATAACCAGCAGAGGGATGGCTGGGTCAAATAGAACCTCTAGTCCCAGCACTTTGAGGTATCTCCATATTGTTTTCCATAGTGGTTGTACCAGTCTGCACTCCCACCAACAATGAAGAAGGGTTCCTTACTCCCCACAACCCAGGCAACATTTGTTATTGTGTGATTTCTTGATAGCAGCCATTCTTTGTGGGGTGAGGTGAAATCTCAGTGTTGCTTTCATCTGCATCTCTCGAATGACCAGTGATATAAAACATTGTTTCATATATTTACTTGCTGCTTTTACTTCTTTGTCTGAGAAATGTCTTTTCATTTCAGATGCCCATTTTTGAACTGGGTCTTTATATTTAGGGGCTGATTGTTTTGAGGTCTTTATATGTTCTAGATAAATAGTCCTTTGTCTGAGGAGCAGCTGGTAAAAATTTTTTCCCACATTGTAGGTTGTCTCTTAGTTCTGTTGATGGTTTCTTTTGCAGTGCAGAAGCTTTTTAATAAGATGAGGTCCCACATTTTGATTCTTTCTGCTAGTCCCTGTGCTACTGAGGATTTGTTCATGAAGTCTTTTCCTATGCCAGTGTCTTCAAGAGTTCTGCCTAACTTATCTTCCAGCAAGTTTAG